ATAACGCTTTGGTACATCTATCTCTTTATCTATTTAAATATAGATATTTTGATGTTTTCATCACGTTTTTACATTGAGTTTTTTAAAGCAAAGAAATAGTCTATTTTAAAATAGCCATAACTCCTTAAATATTGACATTTCGGTATTTTCAGCACGTTTTTGCATTGAGTTTTTAAAGCAGAGAAATAGGCTATTTCAAACTGACCATAAATCCTTAAATATTGACATTTCGGGGGTTTTAGCAAGTTTTTACATTAAGTTTTTAAAGAGGAAAAAATAGGCTATTTCAAAATGGCCATAACTCCTTAAATATTGACATTTCGGGACTTTCAGCACGGTTTTGCATTGAATTTTTTAAAGCAGAGAAATAGACTATTTTAAAATGGCCATAACTCCTTAAATATTGAAATTTCGGGATTTTAAGCATTAAGTTTTTTAAGAGGAAAATTTGCCTATTTTAAAATGGCACTTCATCAGTGTCTCTCATTCCAAAATTTTGAATTCTAGCTCATTCCGTTTGTCCAGTAAAAAGTATTCAGTTTTTCGGACATTTTAGTACTTTTTGTATCATTTTAGTATGAGTTTCCAAAAAACCTTGCTTTTCACACGCCTACGCACCAAGACTCACCCTCGTTCAAAAAAGTGGAGAGTGGTGTAATGTAAAAATTTATTGGCATGACTGTGATAAAAGACAACCTGACGAGAAGAATCTGGAAGCTGCAACAGTTAACAACAAATCGCTAATTTTCATTAATAGTGACACACTATTTTCAGAATGTTTAACAGTTGGTCCAAGGATTGGCCACATTTTCCCCGGTGCTGCTTGGACTTTTCACTGGCAATCTATCCTAGTTTTACCTGAACCTGAATCTACGAATTAATTAGTTTTTGGAAACATATCTTTTAAATATCTATAATGGCCCTAACCGATTTTATTAGTTCCTCGTAGGTTTCTTTTGCAATACAACTAAAGCACTTATAAACATACAAAATATTTTTAGATATTTATTGATTATGATATTTCCAAAGCGATTTAAAATTTGTATCTATGTATTCAAGAACCTTTTTTCGAGAAAGACAAATAATACAAAGACCATTGAAAATATTCGGATATTGTCAATGGCAAAAATACTAATTTGATTGTAGCAAATTCCTGCTATGCATCTATGTCGAATCGAAGGACTACCATAGCAATATTTGCCATTTTTTGTGGCTTATTTTTAAATCCACCCCTATGTCAAACATTTTTTAGGGCCATAGACAAAGAAATTGATTGTCAACGATGTGTATAAATATTTCATCATTTATTGGTCCTATATAATATGACAAATGTTCCAAACCAATCTTTAAGTTATAAATAATGACACCCAAAGGAACCATAATCAAATAAAAAATTGCTATGGGAAACATTGTGCATTTTTTTTGTAGCCCACAATTCAGTAGAACAAATCAATATTTATTATCCTTACCTACTTCAAACTTTAATAAAGTTTTGAGGAAATGATAAATATTATAAAATATTTTAATTTTCAGTAATTGAAGAAGAAATTTTAATTTATAGGAAAAATATGCATGTTGTTATAAGAAACATTGGCTGTCTGGATTCTTTATAAAGAAAATGAAACGTATGGGAACTTAATTTTTTTCTTATAAAAGAAATAGCCGTAAATAGAAGGGAAAAAGTAGGAAGTAGAAAAAATAAAATCAGGGATAGAGTTAAATATGTTGGCTTAAAAACAGGATCGAGAACATTGGTATATCTAAATCTGAACCGATCTTAATAAAAGTTGCCAGGGGTATTTTCGAGGTACCAAATATCATTGTTGTGTAGTGCACATTACGCATGTGAGGGACTTAAAATCCCAAATCGGATGAAACATATATATGGGAGTTACAGGTATATCTGAACCGATTTTCACCAAATTTGAAGTCTTTATTTCTAGGATGAATTCAGACGGGATTTGCCAAGATTCAGTTCATTTGGGCTGTTATCAGCCATTTTATACACAATGAACCTGATATCGGATAAAGATATTTATAGAAGCTATATTCAAATCTAATCCGATATCGATAAAATTTGACAGAGGAATTTGAGGCTTGAATCTGATATCAAATATAATTCTTGTAGAGTATATGCGAGGGACATAAAAGCCAAATCGGATGAAACATATATATGGGAGATATAGCTACATTAGAAGTTTGAAAAACCAGTCAAAAAGTAGATAATTTTGCCGATGAATGTATACCTTCAGCTATTGTCCATTTACTTAAATATATTTTGACATCTGATATTATTATTCCTAATATTGATTGGGGGAGGTCCCGAAGGAGTAGGCCAACATTGTCCAACTTCTTTCTGATATAAATATTACAACGTGATATATTGGGATTATATCGACTTCTTTCTTCACTTGATATGAGTTGTATGATAATTTTTAGTGGACCAAAGTATTCCATTTCATCTAATACTAATAAAAATATTGGAATTTGCAAAATATAAGGAAAATCGAACATTTCTTTCCAATTTTTTTGGCGAACAATTGAAAATCAAAATTTGATTCTTTTTATTGGTGGAGGGCGGTATGGTAGTTTGTATCACAAAAAGTGGGTAGAAAAATCCCATATTCGCATCAGATCTCTTGTTGAGGAATATATTTAAATATACCAGGTTTGAACAAGTTATGAGAGATAAAATTATTTAAAATCGCGATCCTTTGTGGGGGAGGTAGCGGGTAGGCCGATATCTACCATCTTAACACCATATCTTTTTCAGTAGACATATTGAGATGTGTGAAATTTTAAGAGAATCGCATGATATTTTCGCATTTTATGGGCGCTTTGATATTCAAAATGTTGACGCCTTGTGGGGCAGGTACTAGAAGAAGTGGATAAATATATCTCATATACACACCAGATCTTGTGCTGACAGAAATATGAGGATGTGTGACACTTGAAGAGATTAGGATGCTTATTTCGCAAATTTATGAAAGATGTAATTATTCAAAATTTTGACCCGTTGTGAAGGAGGTACCAGAAGTCTTATGTTAATCGAAATATTGGGACGTGCCAAGTTTGAAAATAATCAAATGCTTATTTCGTATTTTCTGAACTTCGTTGTTATTCAAAATATTGACATTTTTGAGTGGGAGGTACCAAAAGTGGTGGATCGATATCTTCACACCAGATCTTTTACTAGTAGAAATATTGGGATATGCGAAATTTTCAAATTTCATTATGTCTAATCTTATGTTAATAAAAATATTGGATTGTGTGCAGTTTGAAAACAATCGAACTCACATTGTATATGAGTTATAATTATTCAATATTTTGACTTTTGTGGGGGAGGCGTGGACCGATATTGTACATTTCCGAAACTGCACTACCACTACCAAAAATATTTGGATTTGCCAAGTTTTCACAAAATCGAATGACCCTTTCCCTTTCTCTTAGGAAAATTATTTTCTTTGAACGTTTTGGCAGTATCAAATGATCAGAAATGATATATACCCTCAGTAGCCGTATAGATGAGGGTATATAATAAACATTTTACACCCCACAAAGTATACATATATTCTTGATCAGCATAAAATTATACATAGATTTAGCGATGTCCGTCCGTATGTGGAAATCACTCACTACCTCTCTATATTCGGTATTTTGATATTTTTGCCACAATTATTTACTGGATCGGTTCAGATATAGCTATAGCTCCCATATATATGTTTCATCCGATTTGGTATTAAGTCCCTCAAATTCGTAAAATGCACGATACAAGAATAATATTTGGTACCAGATATCAGATGCAGCCAAGAAATAGCTGTTTTCAATTTTATGAAGATCGGTTCAGATTTGGGTATAGCTCCCATATATATCATTATCCGAAACCAGGTTTATGACTAATATTAGCCCAAAATGGAGTGAATTTTCGCAATTCAGCCGAGTTTAGCATAGAAGCAAGAATTTCAAATTTGCCCCCATATATATGTTTCATCCGACTTTGTGTTTAAATATCCAACTGTCGGAATATGCACTCTACCATAATCATATTTTGTACCAGATATCTCATAGAGCTCAGAATTGCCCAATATAAACCTTTCTTTTACGAGAGCTCTACTGAATACCATTCTTTACTGGTTTACATCAGGGATCAATTATTTCAATTACACGTCTCGTACGTCACTTCGAAACGTTTAAAAACATATTTACAGTTATGTCCATTTAAGGTGCAATTTGGTTTTGGTTGCTTGGTAACTTTTAGCCCAGCCTGTATATTATCGGCGTACCTGGTTCGCCATACTCTTAAACTTACATAGAACGAAATTTAGGTTTAAGATTGCCTTACAAATTGGATTTTGGCAGAATTAACATTTATTGCATTTATGTGATCAAGTAGCTTGTTGTCAAATGATAACAGCATTCTCAAAAGAAGTGTTGTCATCTAGACAACTGCCGAAAAGGGGAAAGAAAATACAATTTCAAACATTAATCCACAATTCACCAAAAAAAAATCAAATCAAAAAGCGAAAAGGGAAATAAAAGGTTGTTGATAAACGAAAACGGTATACCAATAAGAAACAACACAGAACTTCTTCACAAAGATCAGAATATAAATCAAGGTATGTAATCCCAAGTAAACTGATGTTATGCCTGCACACACACACAACGAGGCCTTTCTATTTACATACAAATTTATTTGCCAAAGGTATTAGCCAATAACTTTGATATTTAAACAGGACAACAAGGGTCCTGCATAATTTTGCGGCAAATGAATTCAAGTATCGAACAAAATAAAATGAATGTTCAAAGGTCTACCTGTACGAAATGAACTTAATAATATTAAATTCATTTAGTTTATCGACATGCCTGTGTGTTGGCTGGCCATTGTCCTTGGGTTTTGTTTTGTTGAAAAATAATATTAACATCCTTTTTGGGGATATTTGTGTATAACGCCCCGGAGGCAACATTTAATATACAATGGAATTTACAACAAATAAACTTACCCGAATTCTTCGCATGGCCTGTACAATCTCAGCACGTGTGTTTGGGCGGGGTACCTCCTCCCAACCCACAAACTGAAAGAGAGAAGAAAAGGAAATAAAGATATCAAATTAAATTTATAGTTCGGGTGGGCGGAGTTGGATGGGCAAAATGTAAAATTTCAATACGCTACTGAGTTAAGATTTTATTCAAAAACGGGTCTGACAATTTCTGCTTGTAGTCGATCCGCAAAAACCACACATGTCAAACATAAATCTTTAGAAATGCTAATGTTAGATAAGAGAATAACAGGGCAATCGGTGGTGGTGGCATACAAAAGATATGGAAATTTAAGATAAGACCTTAACTATTTGTAAGAATATAGGGGAATGAATGAATACGGGAGAATAACAGGTTAACATACTCAACTTTATGATTAATTAAAACTTGTGCAAATTAAAACCTTTCTGAATACAAATGCTGACAGAGTTTGACAGTCATTGAAAGTAGCCGTCCTGTTGATAACCCAGCAAGAATATCGTAACAAAAGGAAGCATTGCAAAAGTCCATAGTTTTAATTGCGTCTTCTATTGTATTCATTGATTTTTATACCCTCATCCATATGGCTAGAGAGGGTATATATCATTTGATGATATATACCCTCTGACGTGCCTCATCGGAAAATCGCTTTTAGACTCTAGGTCCCTTAGATCAAATCCGTTTCAGGACATTTGTAGTCGATCTGGCGATGACCGTCACTCCGTCTGGCTGGCTGATGCGCACGATAACTCTCGAATGGAGTATCCGATTTGGTCTAAACTTGGTACATCGTAATATCATTGTCAAACTTACATCGAGTATTAAGATAAGCAGTATCGGTCCAAAGCAAAGGTCGAAATTTTCAAAAAAAAAAATTTTTTTTTTCTGCACAGAAAGAGAATGGATAATTCGATTTGGCTCCAACGTTGCAAATCCTAAGTGACTAAATGGAAAATTTTGGTCCATTCCATCAAATGCCTTCCCCACACAGGGTCATAATTTTAACTCTTATAAAATGTACTATAAGAGTCCGATTGTCTTCAAACTGCACGTATTAAAATATTGTTATTAACCTAAAATTTAATGTCAAGATGGGGAATATCGGTCCATTCCTTCGGCTACCTCCTTCACAAAGTATCAAAATTTTGAATATAAATGGCGCTCATAAAACACGACATTAACATCCGATTTCAATCGGACTTGGCACATCCCAATATTTCTATCAACACAAGATCTGTTATAAATACGGTAGAGATCGGAACATTCCTTCTGGTACCTCCCCCACCAAAACTCGAAATTTACTCAAAAACTCGAAATTCGATTCCATTCGGACTTGGCACATCTCAATATTTCCATCAATTCCTTTTCCATTTATATCATATTTTTTAGTTCCGATACGAAACGGTCAATATTGGCCATTCCTTCGGAACCTACGCCATAGAGGGTAAACATTTTGAGTAATCATAGCAAAAGTCAAAATATATTTAAATAATTGAACATTGACTGAAGGTATACAACCGTCGGCAAAACCGACTGATACTTTTTAACTTGTTCGATTAAGAATTCGTAGCTTTTTGTAGGCTTTTGATTTGGGATTAGGTAGAAGCTAAGATTTGGCGAAGAGCTAGTATTTTTCTGCAATCAGGTCTTGGTTACACCAGCCCACCGTCGCAGCATCTTTGAAGCAGTACGGACCAATGACACCACCAGCTCATAAACCGCCCAAAACTGTAATATTTTCTGGATGCATTTGTAGCTTTTCTAATACTTCTAGCTGGCTTTCACTGCAAAATCGACAATTCACACTGAACACAATTGAAATGGAAGAAGAGCCCGATGAAAATGTCTGTACTTCATTGGAATCGATAAAAATTATGTGGTTTAAAAACAAGTAAAAAAGTAATAAGTTCGGCCGGTCCGAATTTAGAATACCCTCCACTATTTGGAAGAAATTTGAAAATTTTCAAAAAAAAAAAAAAAAAAAGAAAAATACTGTCCAAATCATAAAAATACCTTATATAGAGAGTTACTATTATAATGCGGCCTATACGAACGCGGAGACCTGCATAGGCACATTTTGTCATAGGCCTTTACAATATTCAAATACGAAACATGAAAAAATTCCAGTAAACAATATCGCAAAAATATCAAAATACCGAATGTACCGTTATATGGGGGCTATACGAACGCTTGGACCTGCATAGGGAAATTTCCGTCACAGGTCGTAGTACCCGTTAGGAATTGCAAATGCGAAATTTTAAACAATTTTAAAATTCACTAAAATCATCAAAATACCGAATATAATGAGGTTAGGTTATATGGGGGTATACGAAAATGTGGACCTGCATACGGAATTTTCTGTCACAGGCTTATAGTATTTATGCAACTACGAAATTTTAAACAGTTAGCATCATCAAAATACCGAATAAAGGGAGGTATTGTTGTATGAAGGCCCATACGAAGACGGGTTTCTGCGTAGGCAAATTTTGTCATCCTCCATTACAATATTCAAATACAAAACTGGAAAAAAATCCGGTAAATAATGTCGCAAATAAAAAACAAAATACCACAAATTGGGAGGTACCGTTATGCGGGGGCAATACGAATTTTCCGTCACAGGCCGTAGTACCCGTTAGGAACTGCAAATAATAATTTGAAACCATTTCTGTGAATAATGTCGCTATAATCATCACAATGCCGAATATAAGCAGGTACTATACAAAGATCTGGACCTGCATACGCAATTTATTACCTAAAGTACCTTTTAAGAAGTGCACGAGATTTGAAACAATTCCGGTGGATAATATAGTTAAAATCATCAAAATGCCGAATACAGGGAGTTGCCGTTATGTGGTACCAAAATGTGGACCTATATAACCCACTTACAAAACCAAAAGTAAAAGTAAAAACATACATCTGAGTACATTTTTATCACCCTACTTAATTTTGTTCGGAAGCTACAGTGATTTCCACAGACGGAGAGATGGACAGACAGGCGGACGGACGGATATAGAATTTTATGCTTATCAAGAATATATAAACTTTGTGGGGTCGAAAATGAAAAAGTATATTTGGAGGTGTTACAAACAAAATGACAAACTTAATATACCCTCCATGCTATGGTGGAGGGTACACAATATGATCAGGTCTATACGTTTTGTAACTAAAATTCTTCTTCATGTCATATTTCAAAATGTTCGCATGCAACGGCATGCAAATCATCATCACCATCGTTCAACACAAAAAGGTCTTACCGCATCCACCCCTTTTTCATTCATCCATCTTTTCAGATTGTGGTCTACTGGGCTAATACCTTAACAAAACTGACCAAATATCAGCTCCAACTACGGCCGTTTCGACCCCTAACCATCGACCTAACTGTGAATTATCCATTCATGGGAATGAATGTACTGCCCTGATTCATTGCATAATCTGAGTAAAACTCATCACACAAAGCCTTCAACCTGAACCAAAAATAATTAAGGAAAATAAATACCGACCTTAGCACTATCACAATGGCCATTGTGGTTGTATTCATTTTTTGAAAGTATTGTCAAAGGATTCTATTGGATTTAATGGATACTATGGAAGGGATAATATATAAACCGAAAAATTCAATCAATCTCCAGGAAAGCGGAAAGCCTAAGAACAATCGAAAATAAAACAATAGGAAAAACTAAAAAAAAAGGAAATCAATCAAAGGTTATGCCAGCCTTTTCTTAACCAAAATCTAGGTGTTAAAGAAACCATGAATAGTCCAATACAAATGAACAAATCTAGGGGTTAAGACAACTGAACTGAACTGAACAACAACTAAGGCTGTCAATTGTAATTTCCTCTTTCTCCCCTGTTCATGCACCATGGGTTTCATTCAAATCCTTTGAGCAGTGGCAGCAGCAAGTGTTCAGGCATAGAGGCGTTAAGTGGTACAACAATGGCGAGCCCGATGATGATGACGATGATTCGTCAATGGTTCAATGATTTCATTCACTGTGAAGGATTTCTCCATTCTTTCCTTTTTCTTTCGGCGTAAGAATTTTTGTTCTCTCGCCTGAAGAGCTTTAAAGAAAATGTTCAAGTGTAAATCATTGAAATCATGGTGTGCTTTTTTCGTAGACACTGAGTCCTTGGCTTAGATGATTTACCACTCAAGGTCTGGGTGGAACAGACGGCGCCGAAGAAGGAAGAGGACATTCACACCAATTCTCTACCAAAATAAATGGCTATATCATGTTGTTATGAAATTCGGGATTATATTTCAAGTGCCTAAAAACATCTGCCATTGGAATATTCTCCCAAACACTTTAAGTAATACCCTCTTAAGCAATTTAAAACTTTAAGGATATCATTTTGAAATAAATTGTTTTTGGTTTGATGTTGAAATGTATTTGTTTACCAGATACAATTGTAAGAATTTAAATAAGTTTTCCACTTTTTTTGCACACAGAGCTCTTGGGGGCTCTTTTGTTAAAAATGTTGTTAACATGTTAAAATTCGAATAACAAGAAGTTAAAAAACTCACACTTCATACATTTGAACAACTCTTAAAATATTTGGAACATTTAGAATAAACTGACAACATAAAGATTGTAAGGAGTGACTTTTTGGCAACACTGGCTTAAATAGCTCACACATGTTTCGTGTTTTGTTTCACTGTCAAGCATCATCAGTTTGGTCTATAATTGAACCATATATTGTCTTAAAAACCGAAGAATACTGGCAAATCATTGAATTTTATTATCACAAATAACCAGTAAGGAAAGCTCAAAAGTCGGGCGGGGCCGACTATATGATACCCTACACCACTATGCATATTTAGTAGAGCTCTCGTAAAAAGGTTTATACAGGGCATTTCAGAGCTCTATGAGATATTTGGTACAAAATCTATCTAATTCTATCTAATTCTATAGCTATCTCTGAACCGGGTTTCTCCAAATTTTACGTATTAGCTTCTAGACTGAATTCGGTCTTATGTACGAAAATTCAGGTGATTTGGGCTGATATTGACCATTTAGTGCACATTTAACCCGAAATCGGATGAAGATATATATGGGAG